AAAGAAAGAAAGAAAGAAAGAAAGAAAGAAAGAAAGAAAGAAAGAAAAAGAAAGAGAAGAAAGAAAAAGAAAGAAAAAAGTTGGTTACAGGTCAAAATCCTGGATGAACATAGTTGCAAAAATCCTCAGTAAAATACTAGCAAACCACATTCAACAATACATTAAAAGGATCATTCACTGCTACCAAATGGGATTTATTCTGGGGATGCAAGGATGGTTCAATATTTGCAAATCAATCAATATGATACACCACATCAACAAAATGAAGAATAAAAATTATATGATTATCTCAGCACATGCAGAAAAAACATTTAACAAAATTTAACATCCATTCATGTTAAACTTCCAAAGTGGATTTAGAGGGAACACACTTCTGCATAATAAAGGCCATCTATGAAAAAAAACCACAGTTGATATCACACCCAATGGTGAAAAACTGAGAGCTTTTCCTAGATCAGGAACAAGATAAGGGTGTCGTTTCTACTTTTCTGGTACTATAACATAGTGCTAGACATCCTAGCCACAGCAATCAAACAAGAAAAAGAAATAAGAGGCATCCATATCAGTAAGCAAGAAATTAAACTGTCATTTGCAGATGACATGATACTGTACATAGAAGACCCTAAAGACCTTACCAAAAAACTATTAGAAGTAATAAATAAGCTCAATAAAGTTCAAGGATACAGAATTAATACCCAGAAATTGGTAACATTTCTATGCACTGATAATGAAGTAGCTGAAAGAGAAATTAAGAAAACAACTCCATTTATAATCGCATAAAAAAGAATAAAATACCTAGGAATAAACTTAACCAAGGAGGTCAAAGACATGTAGTCTGAAGATTATGAAACATTGGTAAAAGAAATTGAAGAGGACACAAATAGGAAGATATTCCATGCTCATGGACTAGAAGAATTAATATTTTTTAAGTGTCCATACTTCCAAAAACAATCCAAAGATTCAATGCAATTCCTATCAAAATACCAATAGAATTTTTCACAGAACTAGAACAAATAATCCTAAAATTTGTGTGGAACCACAAAAGACCCCAAATAGCCAAAACAACATTGAGAAAGAACAAAGCTGGAGGTGTTGTACTACCAGATTTCAAGATATACTACAAAACTGTAGTCAAAACAGTATGGTTCTGGCACAAAAGCAGACACATAGATCAATGGAACAGAATAGAGAGTCCAGAAATAAACCCATGCTTATATGGACAATTAATCTGTGACAGAAGAGGCAAGAATATACAATGGGGAAAGACTGCCTCTTCAATAAATGATGCTGGAAAAACTGGACAGCTATGTGCAAAAGAATGAAACTGGACAACTTTCTTACATCATATACAAAATAAACTCAAAATGGATTAAAGACCTGAAACCATAAAAATCCTAGGAGAGAATACAGGCAGTACTTTCTTTTGTATCAGCCATAGCAACATTTTTCTAGATATATCTCCTGAGGCATAGGAAACAAAAGCAAAAATAAACTATCGGGACTACATTAAAAAGTTTTTGTACAGTGAAAGGAACCATCAATAAAACAAAAAGGCTACCTAATGAATGGGAGAAGCTATTTGCAAATGATATATCCAATAAGAGGTTAATATCCAAAATACATAAAGAACTTCTACAACTCAACACCAAAAATCCAAACAATCCAATTTTAAAAATGGGCAGAGTACCTGAATAGACATGTTTCCAAAGAAGACATACAGATGGCCAACAGACAAATGAAAAGATGCTCCCCATCACTAATCATCAGAGAAATGCAAATCAAAACCACATACCTATCAGAATGGCTAAAATAAAAAGACAAGAAAAAACAATTGTTGGCAAGGATGTGGAGAAAAAGGAACGCTCGTAAATATGAATCAAAACTACAATGAGATACCACCTCATACCAGTCAGAATGGCTAAAATTAATAACTCAGGAAATAACAGATGTTGGTGAGGATTTAGAGAAAGGGGAACCCTCTTACACTGTTGGTGGGAATACAAACTGGTGTAGCCATCTGGAAAATAGTATGGAAGTTCCTCAAAAAGTTAAAAATAGAGCTACCTTACCACCCAGCAATTGTACTACTAGGTATTTATCCAAAGGATACAAACAGTGATACAAAGGGGCACATACATCCCATGTTCATATCAGCAATGTCCACAAAGCCAAACTGAGGAAAGAGCCCAGATGTCCATTGACAGATTAATGGAAAAGGAAATGTGGTATATAAATACAATGGAATATTACTCAGCCATCAAAAATAATGAAATCTTGGGGCACCTGGGTGGCTCAGTCGTTAAGCGTCTGCCTTCAGCTCAGGTCATGATCCCAGGGCCCTGGGACTGAGCCCCGCATTGGGCTCCCTGCTCAGCGGGAAGCCTGCTTCTCCCACTCCCACTCCTCCTGCTTGTGTTCCCACTCTCCTGTCTCTCTCTGTGTCAAATAAATAAATAAAATCTTAAAAAAAATAAAGGATGAAATCTTGCTATTTACAATGATGTGGGTGAAACTAGAGGGTATTATGCTAAGCAAAATAAGTCAGAAAAAGATAAATACCATATGATTTCACCCATATGTGGAATTTAAGAAAGAAAACCAAGGAACATAGGGGAAGGGAAGGAAAAAGAAAGGAAGAGGAAAACAGAGGGGGAGGCAAATCATAAGAGAATTTTAACTATAGGAAACAAACTAAAGGTTGCTGGAGGGTAGGCGGGTGGGAAGATAGGGTAATTGGGTGATGGACATTAAGGAGGGCACTTGAAGTAATGAACATTAGGTGTTGTATGCAAATGATGAATCACTAAATTCTACCTCTGAAACTAAGAATACAGTATATATTAATTTAAATTGAATTTAAATACAAAATTTTTAAAAAGATTTTATTTGAGAGAGAACACACAAGCGCAAGCACAGGGGAGGGGCAGAGGGAGAAGCAGGCTCACCACTGAGCAGGGAGCCCAACGAGTGACTCAATCCCAGGACCCCGGGATCATGACTGAAGCTGAAGTCAGATGTTTCACCAACTGAGCCACCCAGGTACCCCTTAAATACAAAATTTTTGAAAAAAAGGAACTCTTATCCACTTTTGGTGGGAATGTGAATTGGTACAATCACTGTGGAAAACAGTGTGGAGGTTCCTCAAAAAATTAAAAATAGAAATACCATATGATTGATTAATATAACAATAAAAAATTTAAAGAGAGAAAAAAAAGAAATACCATATGATCCAATAATTCCATTAGTGGGTATTTACCCAAAGAAAACGGAAACACTGATTTGAAAAGATACATGCTCCCCTATGTATTGCAGCATTAGTTGCAATAGCCAAGATACGGAAGCAATCTAAGTGTACATCAATGGACAAACGAATAAGGAAGATATGGTGTATACACACACACACACACACACACACACACACACACACACACACACACAGGAATATTATGCAGCCATAAAAAAGGTTGAGGTCTTGCCTTTTGCAACACCATGAATGGACCTAGCAGGTATTATGTTAAGCGAAATGAGACTGAGAAAGACAAATTCCATATGATTTAAGATGTGTGAATTTGTAAAAAACAAAGCAAATTGAAAAGCAAAAAACAGGGGCACCTGGCTGGCTCAACTGGAAGAGCATATGAGTTGTGATCTCAGAGTTGATCTCAGAGTTGTGAGTTCAAGTACCACGTTGGGTATAGAGCTTACTTAAATAAAAGAATTTAAAAAACAAACAAAAAAACAGAATCAGATCTGTAAATACAGAGAACAAACTAATGGTTCCCAGAGGGAAGGGAATGGGTGTAGGCAAGTGAAGAGGAGTAGGAAACACAGGCTTTCAGTTATGGAATAAATAAGTTAAGGGAATAAAAGTCACAGCATAGGGAATATAGTCAGTGGTATTGTAATAGCTTCCTCTGGTGATAAACGGTACCTCCGCTTTTGGTGAGCATAATATAATGTATAGAGAAGTTAAATCACTATGTTGTACACATAAAACTAATGTAATATGTGTTACCTATATTCAAAAAATTTTTTTAGAGAATATTAGCCTTCTGTCTGTGGTATATATTATGAATATTTCTCCCAGTTTATCAGTTGTCTTTTTGTGTATGTTATTTTTTGTCATGCAAAAAATGTTTGTATATATTGGATTTACTTCTCTTCCCAGGCCAGAGCTGATGTAGCAGCTCACTAATATCATTAAGGTCTTTTAGTCATTGTATCTTTCTACCACCAAGTGTGTTGGATTGTTTCCGCATAGTTGTAGAATGGTTGCTAAGCCTCTAGGTATCACAGGAGTTCCAGGGAAAAAGAATGAGAAAAGGCCATATTAGCCATATACATCTCTTTTTATCAGAAGAGCAAAAGCTTTCCAAGAAATTCCCCAGAAAACTTCTATTTAGATCTATTGGCCAGGACTGAGTCATATACTTATTGACTACTTGGGAGGCTTCTTTGATGAAGTTTGTATATAAAAAAAAAAACAAAAAAGTATTTCACCCTCCTAGTCTCTATATTGGTATAAAGCAAGGGAAAATGGAAAAAAAAATGCAGAGGGGGAATGGGAATGGATGTTGTCAGCTCACCCATCAAAGCCTACCAAAAAGCAGGGATAAATATCAAAGAATTAAGCATTGATTATGGGGTCCCTTAAGGGAGACTCGATAGCTGTCTGGTTGGCAGTATTTCTAACAGTTCAAAAACCTTATCTTCCGTGTTATGTTTAGTTTGGCAACTCCTTTGCTGATATCAGCTGCCCAAAGAAGCAGCCTATCTCTTTTTTCCTTTACATTTTTTTTTGTTATGTTAATCACCATACACTACATCATTAGTTTTTGATATAGTGTTCCATGATTCATTGTTTGTGCATAACACCCAGTGCTCCATGCAGAACCTGCCCTCTTTAATACCCATCACCAGGCTAACCCATCCTCCCACCCCCTCCCCTCTAGAACCCTCTGTTTGTTTTTCAGAGCCCATCATCTCTCATGGTTCATCTCCCCCTCCGATTTCCCCCCCTTCATTCTTCCCCTCCTGCTATCTTCTTCTTTTGTTTTTTTCTTTTTTTAGCATATATTGTATTATTTGTTTCGGAGGTACAGATCTGTGATTCAACAGTCTTGCACAATTCACAGTGCTCACCATAGCACATACCCTCCCCAATGTCTATCACCCAGCCACCCCATCCCTCCCACCGCCCCCACTCCAGCAACCCTCAGTTTGTTTCCTAAGATTAAGAATTCCTCATATCAGTGAGGTCCTATGATACATGTCTTTCTCTGATTGACTTATTTCACTCAGCATAACACCCTCCAGCTCCACCCATGTCGTTGCAAATGGCAAGATCACATTCCTTTTGATGGCTGCATAATATTCCATTGTATATATACCACATCTTCTTTATCCATTCATCTGGAAGCAGCCTATCTCTTTAGCAAGTGTTTCAGTTAGGCTCTTTGTCCACTGCACCTGACAAAAAAAAAGAAAAAAGAAAAAGAAAAAAATTCTACCTCAAACTTTATCAGGTTAAAAAAGGAAGTTATTACCACATGTTTATGAAAAACCCAGCAGTATTGATACACAAATACAACTTGATCCAGGATTTCAAATGACATCAATAGGAACTAATTCCTTTCCATCTCTCAGCTCATAGTCCCTCTGTGCCAGTTAAACTCTCAGCTAAGCTCCCTTCATATAGGAACTCTTTTTAGGTCCAGGCTTATATACTCACAACTTCTAATCCAGTGAACAAAGTGCTTCTCTTTCCCAATGATTTGAATAAAAGCCCTGGTATTACACATTGGCTTAAATTATTTCATATGCTTATCCCTGAACAGTCACTTTGGGCAGGGAGATGCAGGGCTCCTGTTATACTGAGTCACACGCCATGTCTAGATCATCAGAAGGAAAAGCAAGAGACTATTATCAGCAAAAGCAGAGAGTAGTTCACTGTAGTCTTTTGTATTTTAGGAACCTCCATTTCAGGGAAATGCTTCTCAGTGATTACTAGGCACCAGTCACTTCACTTTTACTTAACTGTAAAATTCTAATTAAATGTAAGCAGAGTTATGCAGCTGATTAGGGTCATAAGTTCTTCAGAAGACTACTCCCATGGTTCTTTATGTTCCTAAGTAATATCATAGTGGATCTGCACAGCAAAATGTTGACTGGTAGGCATTTTCTTGGCTAATCAATCTACTAATATGCATATCTATATATTTGGTACTAGGGTAAGAACCATGCGATCTGAGTTTAAGTTCCAGGTATACAGCTGTTAGTTTTATAACTTGACCAGGTATTTTTTTCATATATGTAACATGGGAAAAGTAAATTGTTAATATTTGCCTCACAGGACTATTGTAAGAATCAAGAAAGATAAAAGATTGGAAAGGACTTCAAAAATTCTAAGTATCCAAATATAGGCTGATAGATTCCTGCATCTCATAAAATTTCCCAACAATTTTGTTTATTTTGGTATTTTGAAAATACTTCTACCCAATTTAAGTGGCAGATATAAAAACAATATATAAAAATAAAATTATAAAAATAAACTGTACTATTACCATATATTTTAGAGAGACTATTTCTTCTAATTTTGGCCTCTGGTCTCTGTTTGAATTATATTTCTAATAGATTGTTTTTTTTCTTTTCCTAGGTATGCCTTCAGAAGACTATCAGAAATGCCATAGAGAAATGTAAGAACTAACATTTTAAAGTTGTGCTTTTGGAAACCCTATGTTCTAGTAGTTATATAGCTGGAATGATTATTAGCCCACAAATTCAGGTGTTCATTTATTCATGGTTGGTTGAGGAATCATTATATGCCAAAAGTACGCTAATTGCTAGAGATATATCGTAATGAATGAAATTGATTAAAAACAAAATCTTTGCCTTCATCAAGTCCACATTCTAGTTGGAAGAGGTGGACAATAAATAAGTGAGTAAATTTATACTATTCTCTGTGGTAATGAAAGCTATAGAGAAAAAGTAAGATGGGGGTGAGAGAGTATTGGAATGGAGGCTCACTATTTTAACTAGTGTCATCAGAGAAGTTGTAACTGAAATTTGAGCAGAGACCTAAAGAAGGAGACAGATCAAGATGTGTCACTCACAGGAGAGAAGAGTATTCCAGGTAGAGGGAATAGCTGGAGCAAGGCCTGAGGCAAGAAGGCCTGGGTTCCAGGAGTGGAGTGTGGGAGGAGAAGAAAGGACAGGAAGTGAAAGAAGAAGCAGAGACCATATTACATAAGACACTGTAGGTGACTATGAGTGGATTGGAAAGCCTTTGAAAGGTTTAAAGGGTGACATGATATAACTTAGATTTTAAAAGAATCACCCTGGCTACTGTGTTGAGAATAGATTATGAAGAGACAAGGAATTAGGGAGATTATATTTAGGAAACTGTTGTTGTAATCTAAGCAAGAGATACTGGACCAGAGTGGTAAGAGTAAAGGTAGAGAGGTCAGATTTTGCATATATTTTGAGAGCAGAACTAACAGGATGGACTGTTATTCGTTGATGGATTGAATGGTAGAGTATGAAATTGTCAAGACTGACTCCACGGTTTTGGCATGAGCAACTAGGAGGATGGTTTTGCCATTTATTAAAATGGGAGAGACTGAGGAAAAACATTGCGGGCAAAGATCAAGAATTTGGTTTGGGGCATGTAGACTGAGGGGTAAGGCATATGTGAGAGAGACAGTATCTAAATTGAAGGAGGTGGTCATAGTCTGGATCATGAATGGCCTTAAGGCCTGGGATTTTTATTTTCTCTTGAATGTGATGGGAGTCTCTGAAAGATTTTCAGTAAGACGGTAAAATATAACAAAGCTTTTAAACATTTTAATTTCCAAAGTTTGAAGGAACTTGCAAAAAATTCATACAAGTTTAAAAACAAAGTCAGGAGACACCATAAAGGAAATGAAAAGACAATCCATAGAATGGGATAAAATATTTGCAGATTATATATCTGACAAGGGACTTGTATCCGGAATATATGAAGAATTCTTGGGGCACCTGGGTGGCTCAGCTGGTTAAGCATCTGCCTTCGGCTCGGGTCATGATCTCAGGGTCCTGGGACCGAGCCCCACGGTGGGCTCCCTAATCATCGGGGAGCCTGCTTCTCCCTCTCCCTGTTCATGCTTTCTCTCTCACTATCTCTGTCTCTCTCTCTCTCAATAAATAAAATCTTTTAAAAAAAATTTTAAAAAAGATTCTTACAACTCACAATAAAAGGAAAAAATAACCCAATTTGAAAATGAACAAAGGATCCAAACAGGCATTTCTCCATAGAAGATATATAAATGGCCAATAAGCACATGAAAAGATGCTCAGTATCATTATCCATTAGGGAAATGCAAGTCAACTTGAATGGGAATCACTTCATACCCACTAGGATGGCTATAATTAAAAATACTGATAATAACTTTTGTGTTGGATAAGGAAAAATTGGGACTTTCATACATTGCTGGTGGGAATTTAAAATGGTGAAGGTGCTTTGGAAAATAGTTTGGCAGTACCTCAAAACGTTACATTTGATCCAGCAATCCTCTCCCAGGTATGCATACCTGAGAAAAATGGAAACACATGTCCACACAAGAACTTGTGCATGAATATTCACAGAAACTTTATTCATAATAGCCAAAAAAGTAGAAACAGTCCAAATATCTATCTGCTAATGAATGGGCAAATAAAATATGGTATAGCCATATGGAATATTATTCAATAATAAAAAATGAAATTCTGATATATACTACAACATTGATGAACCCTGGACATATTCTAAGTGAAAGAAGCCAGTCATATAAGACCACATATTTTATGGTTGCATTTGTATGAGGTATCCAGAATAGACAAATCTGTATATACAGAAAGCAGATTAGTGATGGCTTAAGTCTAGGGGTTTTGGGAAGAAATAGGGACTGCTTCATGGGTACAGGGTTTCTTTTTGAGGTGATGAAAATGCTCTAAAATTAATTGTGATGACAGTTGCACAACACTCTGAATATATTAAAAGCCATTGAATATACACTTTAAATGGGTAAATTGTGTGCTATGTGAATTACATCAATAAAACTATAAAAAAAAGTTAAGACTAAGGAAACCAAGGAAATGTAATTTTTAATAGAAGATAGAGGTAAGAAAGATAATAGACCAAAAATAAATAAGCAATAAGAGTTAAGAATCAGATGATATTATTGAACCACATTTTGCCTCTCAGCTTTTTGAGATAGAAGGAAAAGATCTATAGCTATTTGATAGATTTTGTGTCTGTCAAATAATCATGTACAACTCTTACTGTCTTATAAGTTGATTTTTTTAATCAGAATTAAATAGTAAATGGTACAATGTTATTTTCCTTGGTGGGGATTTATGGTTTAGGTATTCTGTGCTGATGAGTTTGTGGGGGTGAGGATTGTTACACTTTTGAGTGTAGATCTCTGTAGAACTTTTACATTACCCAACCAGAATTCTTGCCTGTTATCCCACCTCTTCACAGACATATGCATGATAATATTTCTGTCTTAAAATAATCACTTTTGCAACAAAGAAAACGATGGATTAGAAAGAGTGATTAGATTGAAGGAATGTCTTTTGTAGCATTTCAAGTGAGGCGTAATTAGGACCTGAACTTTATCAGCCAGGACACGAAAAGGGAAAACTTCAGAACAATTCAGAAGGGGTAATCAATAATTTTTTAAAAATTTAATTTAATTTTATTATGTTAGTCACCATACAATACCTCATTAGTTTTTGATGTAGTGATCCATGATTCATTGTTTTCGTGTAACACTCGGTGCTCCATGCAGTATGTGTCCTCCTTAATACCCATCACCGGGCTAACCCATCGCCTCGCCCCCCTCCCCTCTAAAACCCTCAGTTTGTTTCTCGGAGTCCATAGTCTCTCATGGTTCGTTTCCCCCTCCGATTTCCCCCGCTTCATTTTTCCCTTCCTTCTCCTAATGTCCTCCGTGCTATTCTTTATGTTCCACAAATAGTGAAACCATATGATACTTGACTTTCTCTGCTTGCCTTATTTCACTTAGCATAATCTCCTCCAGACCCATCCATGTTGATGTAAAAGTTGGGTATTCATCCTTTCTGATGGCTGAATAATATTCCATTGTATATATGGACCATATCTTCTTTATCCATTCATCTGTTGAAGGGCATCTCAGCTCTTTCCACAGTTTGGCTATTGCGGACATTGCTGCTATGAACATTGGGGTGCATATGGCCCTTCTTTTCACTACATCTGTGTCTCTGGGGCAAATACCCAGTAGTGCAATTGCTGGGTCATAGGGTAGCTCTATTAATTTTTTGAGGAACCTCCACACTGTTTCCAAAGTGGCTATACCAACTTGCATTCCCACCAACAGTGTAAGAGGGTTCCCCTTTCTCCACAACCTCTCCAACATTTGTTGTTTCTTGTCTTGTCAATTTATTCTGTTCTAACTGGTGTAAGGTGGTTTCTCACTGTAGTTTTGATTTGAATTTCCCTGATGGCTAATGATGATGAACATTTTTTCATGTGTCTGTTAGCCATTTGTATGTCTTCTTTGGAGAAGTGTCTGTTCATGTCTTCTGCCCATTCTTTGACTTGATTATTTATTTTTTGGGTGTTGAGTTTGAGAGGTTCTTTATAGATCTTGGAAATCAGCACTTTGTCTGTAGTGTCATTTGCAAATATCTTCTGTCATTCTGTGGATTGCCTCTTTGTTTTCTTGACTATTTCCCTTGCTGTGCAGAAGCTTTTTATCTTGATGAAGTACCAGAAGTTCATTTTTGCTTTTGTTTCACTAGCCTTTGGAGATGTATCTTGAAAGAAGTTGCTGTGGCCGATGTCAAAGAGGTTACTGCCTATGTTCTCCTCTAGGATTTTGATGGATTCTGGTCTCACATTGAGGTCTTTCATCCATTTTGAGTTTATCTTTGTGTATGGTGTTAGAGAACGGTCGAGTTTCATTCTTCTGTATATAGTTGTCCAATTTTCCCAGCACCATTTATTGAAGAGACTGTCTTTTTTCCATGGCATATTTTTTCCTCCTCTGTCGAAGATTATTTGACCATAGAGTTGAGGGTCCATATCTGGGCTCTCTATTCTGTTCCATTGGTCTATATGTCGGTTTTTGTGCCAGTACCATGCTGTCTTGGTGATCACTGCTTTGTAATATAGCTTGAAATCAGGCAACGTGATGCCCCCAGCTTTGTTTTTCTTTTTCAACATTTCCTTGGCGATTTGGGGTCTTTTCTGATTCCATACAAATTTTAGGATTGTTTGTTCTAGCACTTTGAAAAATGTCATTGGAATTTTGATCGGGAGGGTGTTGAAGGTATAGATTGCTTTGGGTAGCATAGACATTTTAACAATGTTTATTCTTCCGATCCATGAGCATGGAAAGTTTTTCCATCTTTTTGTGTCTTCTTCAATTTCTTTCATGAGTGTTCCGTAGTTCCTAGAGTCTAGATCCTTTACCTCTTTGATTAGGTTTATTCTGAGATATCTTATGGTTTTTGGTGCTATTGTAAATGGAATCGTTTCTCTAATTTCTCGTTCCACAGTTGCATTGTTATTGTATAAGAAAGCAACTGATTTCTGTGCATTGATTCTGTATCCTGCCACATTACTGAATTGCTGTATGAGTTCTAGTAATTTGGAGGTGGAGTCTTTTGGGTTTTCCCCATAAAGTACCAT